AATCTCTGAAAATCTGTTGCAGTGTAGTGAATCGTAACATTTTCCAATTTATCTGTATATTGCAGATCAAGAATGTGATCTGGAAAGTTTCCGACCTAACAAAGACGCAAGACATCTTTTAGAATGTTGTTTTCATTCAACATAGTCTCCTTTTAACTCTACACACGTCTCCCAGGGATGCTCCCATCTCTGAAACCCCTCCAAACAGTACTCGGCGTTTTTCTCAGCAAAAAAAGTCGCTTGGGGCTAGATCTGGTGAGTAAGGCGGATGGTCAAGCAGTTCAATCCGTAATTCGTGGAATTTTGCAATGGCAACCGCTGAGTTATGAGGTGGTGTCTTGTTGTCATCACTTTCCCAGTCAAAAAAAAAGTTTTTGCTTTTTTTGAAGCCGGTTCCCCCTTAGCAGTCCACTGTTTTGACTGTATTTTTGTTTCGAGTGTATAATGGTGTATCTAAGTTTCATCTACAGTAATTAAACGGCTCCAAAACTCAAATTTATTGCGTCTAAACTGCGTCAATACAGCGTTAGATATGTTCATTCGAAAACGTTTTTGGTCTAGTGTGAGCAAACGCGGCATCTAACCTAAGACAGCTTTCTTATGTCTAAATGTTGATTTAATATGTGAAAAACACATTCTTTTGAACATGTTCATTACCTCTGCTATATCTCTCACTTCAATACGGCGGTCGTCTAGCACCATTTGGTGAATTTTGACGATGTTTTCGTCGAGAGTTGCAGTTTTTGAACGTCGCGAACATTCATCGTCTCTCAAGCTCTTACAACCGAGTTCAAAGTCAGGTGCCCAAAATTTCACTGTGTGCAGAGCCCCCGTACACAGAATCTAACTATAGTATAACAATTTTCAATTGAAGGTAACTCATATACAAATTGAACTGAGAGCTAACGGCAACAAAGTTAAATGTAAGAACTGAATTCTTACCGGGGTCATTTTAATTGTCTATGCATTTGCCCCCCGTAACAAGATAGCTTCTGCATATCGATAGGATGTACGAGCTATTCTTTCTTTTTTGAGAATAAAGCGCCAACCCTCGAATCCATTAGGACAAAGGTAATGGATAATGATCTCATTCCAAAAATGAGCAAAGAGAAGTTAAGGAAAATAATAAAAGAAGATTTAAAATTCATATAAGTATGCCAAACGATCCCGTAAATCTGTCTTAATAGAAAGAGAAGATATAGTCTCATGGCGAAGGAGATATCTTCGCTCTATTAGAAAAATGCGTTCTGTTCACAAAAAGATTTATTATCTGGACGAAACGTGGGTGAATGCTGGTCACACAGTATCTAAGATCTGGCAAGATACTACTGTAACTAGTTATCGTCAAGCATTTGTGGACGGTTTATTAACAGGGTTACGCGGACCAACGGGTAAAGGGCAACGACTAATTGTTTGTTGCCCATATAGGTAGAGAGAGTGGCTTTTTAGACGATAGTGCACTAACTTTTTTATCCAAAAAAAACGGGAGATTATCACGAAGACATGGACGCCCAACGCTTTGAATTCCTTTTTTCACGAGTAGAGCCAAATTCGGTAATAGTAACAGATAACGCTTCTTATCACAGCCGATTAGTAGAACAGTTGCCAACTATGACCACCAGAAAAGCAGACATGTAGAGTTGGTTAGGACAAAAAGGAATTCCATTTTCCGAGGTCATGGTTAAGGCCGAGCTCATGAGTGTCATTAAATAGCATTGTTACAGATATCGCCAGCATGTGGTGGATACAATAGCTCGTGCTGAAGGCATCACCATTTTGAGGCTTCCTCCTTACCATTGCGAGTTAAACCCGATAGAATTAATCTGGGCTCAAATTAAGGGTTACGTAGCTCGTGAAAACGTGACATTTAAAATTTCTGATGTCCAATGTTTATTAGAACTCGCAATAGAACGGATACGGAAAGAAGATTGGGCTAATGCTGTAGCCTATGTGATCAAGGAAGAAGAGAAAATGTGGAGATTGGACGGGATGGTAGACACTGTTTTCGACAAAATAATAATACATTTAAGTGTGACTGGGGATTCTTCTGCGGACGAGACAATGGATTCTGAAACTTCATAAGCATAGCATAGGTAATTATTTCTTTGCTTTGTAATTCTCTTTCTATAAGGATCATAATTATTTTGTAAATTTTTCTGTTTTTTTTGAAGAACTGTATTAGGCATAATAAGAAAATGTAATCAGTTTTACCATTGACACCAGGTAGCGCCACCTACTATAACGATTTTTACGTAATTACCTATGTGTTCAAATAATCAAAAATATTATTTTGGTACGCCTCTGCAGAGTTGGTAAGAGGATTATCCGTTGGTCACTTTAAGTGCGACGTTGTTAATGAAACACCTTCAATTGAAAATTGTTATAGTATAACCTTTGATTTGCATAGGCGTATTGCCTTTCAAAAACAAATATTTAATGACAGTTTGAGACACTAGAACTCACTCAAACAACTGTTCCATAACAACTACTCGTCCGAAATAGCTGAGACTTTGGTGAGTAACTGTCAACAGATGAACATCCAAATTCACTAGCTTTCATTTGCCAGTGTTGCTATCTTTATTTTGGGGTCAGAAACTTTACAGACCACCCTCATATAACAGTGAAGAAGAGAAAATATTGATCATGCTCAATCTTGTTAATTCTCAGGAATCAACTAAATATACAGTGTTGAAAAAAGTGATTGGCTGAAATTGATTTCTATACATTTATTTCAAAAACTATCAACCACTTAGGTTAACAATGTACCCCGGTTTCTTCAATATATTAATTAAATGATAGTTTGGGATATATAAACATAGTCTATGATGGTTAATTAATATTTTCCTTGTCGATTCTATATATTATACATACTGAGTGAGTAAAAATGCTGAATATACGGGTCCTTCACTCTCATCTAAAAGGTGGGTCATGCATTCTTTCACAGCTTTATCTATCACTCCATCACGAAATGTAAAAAAATTATTTGGGTCTTCATTTATCTTTAGCGAAGGTTGCAAAGTCTTTTCATTTGAGGAAATTGATGTTGTCGATGTCGAAATTGCTTCTTTGGTACTCTTGGAACTCCATATCGTTTCTGTGACTGAAACACAATGGTTCAATTAATTCAAACAGAACTGTTGCCTTACCAAATATTTGTTTTTTTTAGTATCCCTAATTTACTTGATTGAGCTACACCATATACAGTAGTTGATGGTATGTCTGTATTTGACATTAAATTAGAAAGGAGAGTATCAGCTGAAAAAAAGTGTGATATCCTGAATGGGGCAATGTCCTTTGCAAATAATGTAACAAATTTGAAGCCGCCCCAGACCAGTACGATAGCCGAATCATGTAACAAACACATGACATCACCGTGAAAGAATGCAGTTGGCAATCGCCGCTAAAAGTCTAGTCGAGTACCGAACCGACTACAGATTTCTAGAAAGGACCGTTACATTATTAAAGCACGCCTTCCCGACCCAAGAGGGCAGTTCAGAAAGTGAATCGAGCGGCTAAATAAGAAATTCAGTTGCTAAGTGTTGTAAATAAATTTGTTTGTGATTAGTGAAATATTGTTGGAAATAAACTTGTTCAAGACAGTTAATTCTTTAATTTGTGGTGGTGTCAGAAGTGGGATTTATAAAATAAATCTGTGAGCGCTTGATGGACAATCTTTATATTGCGGTAAAATTGACTATAGTGACTTATTTGTTCGCGCAGAGAGACTGGTGATTCGTTGTGTTTCGCGAAGTGGACAGTACCGGACTACGGAAGCACACACTGATAGACCTTTTTCGCGAAAAATAGACTTGTGAAAGTGTTTTTCGGACTCAATTAAAATAAGTGGACATATACAGTTATGTGATGAATTGATGAATTGAAAGTCGCCGAATTGAAGCAAGACTTGATACAAAAAAAAGGATAAGGGAATCTTCCAAAGACAGGAAGGAAGTAATTAATTTGAAAATAAGTAACTCTATACATGGATGTGTAGATCATGCAAAGAAGTAACTTTGAGACACAAACTGGAAGAAAGTCGTCCTGAAATAGTTACTTTCGTATCTTCTGTATAATTCAGTGTTCATATAGAAGTATTTGTTTCGAAAGAATTTTTTTCTTTCGTGTAATACAATGTTTATATGAAAGTAGCTGTTTCAGGACGACTTTCTTTCAGTTTGTATCTGAAAGTTACTTTTTTGCATGATCCACATATTCATGTATAGAGTTTCAAATTGATTACTTCCTTTAAAACGACTATGCCCTACTTTATTATCATAACTAGATAACTTATCATCCATATTATTCGTAATTTTATCATCAGGAATTGAAACCAATTAGAATATTTGATAATAAGTAAAAGTTTGGAATAAATTGAATGAAATGAATCAAGAAGTTTTATGTAACATAAATCTAGTAAATCAAATTTTACATTGGAAGACTGGAAATCTATAGTTGTGAACAAATTAATTAGTTGGAAAATCTGAATTTCAAAATATTGTTCATTTACAATGTCAATTGCTTCCAATTTCTACTTTTCTTTCTATTTCAATTCATGAAATCTTCGGAGTTGAGTAATGGGGAAACTCGAAAACTCAAAATGCTTTGTTAAAGTTGTTGATACTGTCAATGTTCTTCTGGCTGTTTTTTTGGTATAACTAATTTTGTTCATTCTACCAAATTCAGATGAGGATCAATAAAACATTACACACAATCGGGCAAAAACATAGAAATCACTGATGCTTTGAACATAGATAAAAACTTGTTTTTTTTATGTTGTTTATTGTTAACAGAATGTAGATTTATTTTTCAATAATTATGGATTGTCTGGCATAAAAAAATGGCAAGAAAACGATAGATAGATAGGTGGGATGAAAAGTTCATAGGCTAACACACAGATGGCACTACCATTATCCATATGATTCTTAATTAACCTTAACCTTAAAAAGACGTGTGTACAAATTTCACAGCTGTCGGACTATTAGTTTGTGGGATAAGACGATGAGCGGAGTGGAGCCCAAAGAGGCTGTTACCGACAAAAACATCAAAAATCCACAAAATAATTTTCGATGACCACAAAGTGAAGTTGATCAAGTTAGCTGAGGCTCTAAAGATATCAGAGGAATATTTTGGACATATCTCAAAAATTATTAACATCTAAAAAAGAACATTGTTCTCTCATGTTTCATAAAAAGCATTGTATATGTTTTTGAATGGGTTGAAGGTTCTATGTATTTATTATAGTGTTAAATGAGTTGATTACCATTTAACCAGTCAGTTTTTATGATATTTTTAGTGAAATGTTGTGTTTTCAAAATAGAAGTCTATCAACCCACACAATTAACATAGAACTGTTCTTGATTAGTTTATTGTGTCAATAGTGAGATGAACAAATTGAAATAAAATGGTTAACATACAAATTTCTTTCATGGACGGGCAATGAAATCCTGTTAAAATGGACATTGGAACACTGACGATCACATTTTCCACAAAATAATTGCGGGAAACAAAAACAAAATATCAATACCTTATCTTTTCCGTATAATTAAAACCATAATTAAAAAAGGCATATGTATTTATACTTACTTTTATTCGGAATAGAAGATAAAGGTGCAATGAAAGCATTCCTCCAATGGCAATTTTTGTTATCAGTGTTTATTTCTGTTGTTGAATCTTTATCTATTTTATCAGAGGGGTTCAGCAGACCAGAGTTACTTAATCTGGAATTATCAGCCTGTCTGTTTTCAGGATTGATTCTCAAAGTACCACCCTTAAATTCCTCATGCAAATCCTCTTCTAATGCTAGTTCAATCATTGTTCTTGCAACGGTCGATTAATCAGTATTTTATATTTGCGTGCTTGGCAAAAATGTGACGTTAGTTTAAATAAATTGTTTACCTCGTTCACCTTGTTTCCTTATTCAACAAATTGGATTAACAGCTGATTCAGATGATTCAATTATTTTAGGCAACACTCAATACGAGTACGGCGATTCGTGCTGCGACCTGTCAATGAATAGTCTAACTTATTACGCACTCCTTACAGATTTTACAAATATATTTTGCTTTTCGTAATATTCCAGTAGATGGCAGTAAAATGTATAATTAGTAATTACCAATCAGTGGCGGTACAGGAAAAAGGAAAGTGTTGGTTGATCCCAAGCTACATCCTCTTAGTGATAAAGTGAAATTCACTGACAACTACTACACTAAGTTTAGATATGAAATAGTATACTTGGTGGGCACAGATCCTACTGCGCCACAATGAATGTCCAATTAACTACACTTAGACAGTGAAATGCAAATTTTGAATTTTTAACAAGGATCTAGATTTATTAATGGGACTGTTATGTTACAATTTGTTTACTATATTTTGAGCTGTGTTATTCATGTTTTTTTGTCCAATAGATGATCAACTCAAAAGCTGTATAACGTCTGCAACTTAGTCAAAAAAAGTGTTGAAATTGAATCGATGAAAATTGTTAGTCAGCTACTGTAATGCAGTAAAAACTACTGAAAATTATATATCGAATCTATCAGCCAGGAATGTTAAGATTTGAACGATCGACAGAAATTGTCACTTTCAAGGTCTGTTCTTCTTTGCTATCGCGCAACCCAAACGACCTTTTGGTGTATTTCATCAGTTCGGACTTACATTGTTTAATATAATATAAATTGATTTGAAATTCCAAGTTATGTCACGACGTTTCGATTGTTAGTATCCACAATCGTCTTCGGGTGATAACTGGACTCATTCCTCCGATATACTTATAGACTATTTATAGGCCATTCGATTGCTTTCATCTATCCCCTCTTCTCTCTCTCCGCTTCATTGGTTTTAGCGGGAGATGACCGTTTGGCTGTGATGGAAGGACTTACGTTGTTGATGTGCTTCAGGAAAATGTCTAGTTCTGCATTCCCATGGTTCCATATTATGAAGATGTCGTCTACGTATCTCAACCACCTTCTAACAGACCTTTTTTGGATTGGATCGTCTTGTGTGATGAAAACTGGATCCTCTTCGATAACAGGAGACGTTTAGGACAGTGATAGATCATAGCCGGGTCTCTTTTTTACTCGCTTTATATTAGCTTGACCTGTATGTGTGTATGTATGCATGTTTGTATGTATGATTGTTTATTTGTAACTCTCAAGTTCGGGATCTGTGTTGACAGAATTATCGACATTATTGCTTGATCTATTACCGGGCAGATGGCGCTGTACGTAACTATCAACATTATTACTTGATGTAATCGCGGGGAGATGGCGCTGTATGTAACCTCCTTGATAGGTTGTTCAAAAGAAAATCAAAATAAAAAATGGATTTTAAAAATTATAAGTGTTAGCGAAATTTTGTACTAATACGGATGAAATATTCAGATATTTGAATATTTTAAATTACCCGTGATTTAGTACAGAAAAAAGTTTTGAACCAAACGAAAAATACATTTCAAAATCTAATTCGATTATTTGAAAGCAAACCAGAATATGGATTTCACAATGAAAACGTTATCGTAAAATGTACACCTTAAAAATCCAGTTACATGAATATTTCATAAATATAGTTTAAAAAACTAAAAAACACGCTTTTATAGCATATGAAACTAGAAAGTAATAAATAAATATAGTTTAAAAAACTGAAAAATACGCTTTAAAAGAACATCGAACTAAAAAGTTAAAAATAAATAAAGTTTTAAAAAACTGAAAAACACGCTTAGTGTCATATTTTTTTGTATATCTATCGCCCCCGCTTTTTTCACAATAATAGTATTTTTCGATCATAATTGTAGCTTATTTGGAAACAACATATTTTCAACATTTCAGTTCGATGTTCTTTAAAAGCGTGTTTTTTAGTTTTTTCAAACTATTTTTATTTCACATACCGTTTTTGATTTGAATGTGATATTTAATGACTGAAAATATTATTTTAAACTGGTTTTTTTATTTGAATAAGTTAATAGAACTCATGCAGGAATCTGGTCATCAGTTGCAGTAGTTTGGTAATGGACAAAAGTGGACTGGCTTAGGCTCCACGTTATTTCCCCCCAATTGAACATTTTCTTTGTCCAAAGATAGATATATGTGTTGAGTATACCTACCCTTGTAATAATTCCATTTGTTACACAATTATGTGCTGGCTAGACGGATACATATTATTCTTAGTGCTTCAGAACCATTTTTGGTCTCGACTAAATTTAATTAACCAGTCTTTTTCACCTTTTCGTATCACTTTCAGTAGTGGAAATGACAATAATTCTGAGTTAATGTATGAAGGAGAGTGGCTTGCAGAAATATAGTTTCGTAAATTTGGTATAAATCAAAATATTGTTGGATGAAGTATTCAAAAATGTAAGAAGAAGATAAATATTTCTGGTTTATTGATCGTACTTAGTACGGTTGCCAAATGCAAGGTTGATTTTGAATGAATCTAAAACTAATCTTATACTTTTTAGAACTAATCAATTACAGATAGAAGGACCTCAAAATTTAGATTTTGAAAACATTACGATAAAATATTCAGAAGACACCAAATTTCTAGGACTTGATATTGATGAATTCTTGAAATGGAATCAACAGATTGATTATACAGCTAACAAATTGAGTAAAATTCCGTCTGGACTAAGGGTGGTTCACAAATATCTCACCTGATCTCGATATCGATATTTTAAACATTACCCCAACCAATCTCAGATCTCTGTTATTCTCTATTCAATAAGAATGAATTAATGTTACATGTTTCTTTTATTTTTACAGATATGACATATATATTATGAATTTACACACTAGCCCGTTTCTATTTCCTATATTTTTTAACACCTATTTGCAATGATTTCATATATTTCATTATAGGGATTTTATATTTATAATAATTTTATTGTCAATTGTATCTTTTTATCTATACATGTGTTAGGTTTAGTGTAGTTTAGGTTCTGTGTATATGTAATTGGACTCTGTCTGTATATATTCAGGATAAATGAATAAATGAATAATTCATTAAATACTAACACATCTAAATCATGTATTAATAATGAATAATAAGTATGTATAGATAGGACGCATGACAATTTCAGTGGTAAGGGAACTTCTCAATATGAAAATAAATTTAAAGTTGTCTTGCGTGGACTTTTATGAAAACATCAAGAATGATAAAATGTTTCTAAATAAGGTTCTCTCAATAGAAGAAGAATGGAGAATATATTTATTGAAATAGGTAATCCTAATACACAATATTATATAAAACGTATTACTAACATAGAAATTGAAAATAATTATATAAAAAAACTTGAAATGTAGTTTAGTTCAAAATTGAAAATAAAAATTTTTAGTTTGAAAAATCACGACATATGCTATTAAAAATACAT